CCTTTCCTGGCCGGTCTGTCCGCTCATCACCCAAACATCGGGGTGCCTGGCAAACCTCGGGCCACCTCCAGCACCCTTCTGCCAGGCAGCTTGCAAAGCCCGAGGGAGAGCGTGCCAGGAGGTTGGAGCAGGCGATGCAACAAGGACAGATGAATAAAAAAAAAACCAACCCAAACCAAAGACCTCTGCCAGGCAGATACCACTCCCAAGCACAGCCGTCTCGAGCTGTCAGTCAGGCTAAGTGCACGGCTGGTACAGCAGTAATTAAGCAGCAATGCATTGCAGGCGCAGTGGCAGGGTGGGAGTAACATCACGAAAAGCTTCCAACCAGGGGAAGCGGGGCTGCGATGGGAAAAGCGGGACGTGAATCGCTCGAGGCACTAAAAACCAGCGGCGCTAAATAAAACAGCTCCCAACATTTACCTTGCCGGTGCTCGCAGCCCATTCGGCGATGCCCGGGCTCCTGCGGAGAGAAAAGCACATAAGTGTTCATTAATTGACATATGCAGCGGGGGTGTGTGTGTGTGTGTGTGTGTCCCAAAAATTGGAACACCCCCCCAGTTTTGCCGCGGCCAGCCCGCGGCACCACCCAGCCTTTCGGAGGAAAGGCAGGGTGTTTTCTGCCTCCCTGCCAGGCGCCTAACGTGTGGGGCAAGTGATTTGTTCCCAAAGAGCCGATTAACCCAGTACAGAAGAAAATAAGCTGACCAACTTCTGTCTCTCTTTTTTTTTTTTTTTTTAAAAGCAATTACTAGATCCATAAAAGCATTTAGAAAAAGGTTAAAAAGCACCCGGTTTATCTGCCTCCGAGACCCGCGGGGCTGTTTGCTTTCCCAGCGATTCCTTTCCCCAGCCATTCTTTTTTTTTATTCCTGCCATCGACTTCAACTACACAAAAAAACCAGCAAGTAAATGGGCTCATACCTCCTTTTAATTTTATTTTTCTTTTGTACTGCATACAGCGCTTTCCTAAAAGGAGCAGCAAGTGTTTTCCTCTTGGCTTGACACCCCAAATGCCCGCAGGCAGGCTCAGCAAAGGTTTCTGACCAGCTCCCGGGTGATGCTCCTGCCACCCGGCTCACACCCAGGGCTTCCAGCGGCGGCAAGGAATAAGTAATTTATTTCCCCAGGGGATAATCCTGGTACCCCAGTGCAGAAGTAGCTGCCCAAAACATAGTGGAGTCCCAAAATGCCACAAAACACTTTCCGCACTGACAAAGCGGGAGAGATGCTGAACAATATACGGCTTTTTGTCCCAGTTTAAGAGTGCAGAGCTTGGTGCTGCCTAAACCAAGCCTGCCAGGTGAGGTACGGGAGAGCAGCAGCCAAGGGGAGAAGGCTTGGGGGACCTGCAGCTTGGGCCAGCACTACCACTGCATCAACAAGACACAACCCATAGACCCTACTAAAAAGTTAGCTCAAAATACTCGTCCAAGTGGTTTAACGACCCCATCTCCTCCTGCGGCAGGACGGGAGGGGGTTTCTGGAGGAGCTGGTGCCCCATTACAATTCTCTGTCACTGGGACGGCCGCTCGTAATGCTGGTAGAGCCGGAGAGGTGTCGGTTGCTGTTCCCCTAGCCCCGCGTCCTCACCGATGGTTATTCCTGGCCAAGGAACAATGAGTGCAAAAAGCAAGGTTTGGTCACGACAAGTTTCAGCCCCGAAACCAAAGATTTCTTGGAGAAGCCCAGGCCATGCTGGGCTCACTCTTACCTGTCCGCAGGTGGCAGAGTTGGGCGGGGAGATACTGCATCGCTCCGGGGCCCCCTGGCCACCCGCCGGATCCGGCCCCACGGCTGCTCCCCCAGGGGCAGGGAATCACCCACAGCCCGGGGTCCCACTGCCCACCAAACGACGGGGTGAGATAGCACCACGATGGAGCGCTCAAAGCCAGGGGCTTGCATTCCTGAGCCACGCAGGACGGCTCCAGCGCGCTGGTCCTCGGCACACACCTCCTCTGGCTTGGTCTCACCCTGCCTAACACAGAATGGCAAAGTGCCCACCCCCAGGCGAGCTGGGAAGGGCAAGTCAAGCCCCAATTCAGCCCAGCTGGGGAGCTAACCCTCGGTGTCCCGGGGCTGCCAAACGCCCCGGGCTTCTCCCCAGCAAAGGGCCGGCCGTGCTGCCCACCCCTGCCCCGAACCCCCCTGGTGCTCCCCAGGGGAGGGCAGGAGCAGGGACCCCATAAGGCAACTTAACCTGCGCAATGCTTGCTATACAAGTCCCAAGTGATACTTTTTAGCTGGCTTGATGGAGGGGGAACAGGAGATGCCCCAGCCCCACCAGCCCCATCTCCCACCACTTCCCAGGACCAAGCCCCTGGCACCACCACGGTGACCGCGATCCCTGGATTTGGGGTGTGAGGGGGCACGTCCCTGTTATCGGACCCGTTTTCCACAATTTTATCTGATCCCCGGTTCAACTCAGCGTCCCGTGGCACTGAGCCCCTCAAGGGCCTCCTCTGCATCCCAAACCGATCGTCTGTGGGGTCGGCGAGGGTGCCCTCGCCCCAACACCGGGGTCTCGGGGAGCCTCCACCTCCACCAGCACCGTTCTGACCACGCTCCGCTTGCTTTCGCAGCCTGCTGCCGACGTGCCGCCCAGCAAGGAACGGGCTGAAAAAGGACCCACCCAAAAAAAAAAGCTGGTGTGGGGCTGGGATTTGTACCCGGCTGCCGCCTTCCGTTACTACCTCGTCTCCCCTGACTTACGGAGATGGGACTCGGCTCTCTTCACCTTTTTTTGGGAACAAGTTATATTTCACTCCCCAAACAGCTTCAACGCGTTATCTCAAGGGAGAGTGCTTCTATCGTTAAAACTCACTTTTACAGCCATACAGCCTAAACTCCCGCGTGGTTTGTTAGGAGTCTTGCCCCACATTTTTGACATGTGTTTGTGGGACCTTTCCCAAGCATCCTCTCCCTCCGGCGCGCCGCCGAGCATCTTCCCTGGGAAATGGCGATTACGACAACAGTGATACGGGCATCTCGATTCAATCAAACAAGCCCGAGTATGTAACGAGCAAAAAGAAACACACCGACGTGCCAATAAATGCATAAAGTTACTTTATTTTCAGTATACCTTTAATTTTGAAAAATATAAATGCTAAAATATCTCATCATCTTCATCTTTTGATTCCATAAAAGTCACAATAGAAAGCTTCATAAAACTGTAAAATACTATAATGTTATAAGGAATTTCATGTTTTATATTACTGGAAAAAAAAATCATTTTAATATATTGAAATGTTTTCTGCTTTTTTTCCTTTTTGTGCCACCATCTTGATCCACTTCATTTTATACCGACTTTTTATTCTTTCCTCCAAAGCAAATACAGACTTACGAGAATTAAAAACAATAATAAAAGTATCTGAAAGTGCGTGTCGATTCAAAAAAAAAAAAAAAAATACACAGATGTATCGGCCACGATGACAACTAAGCGTGGGCTACAGAGGCAGATGGCCACCACGTGCCCGGGGCCGGGACAAAGCTGGCTGCAGCGGGGTGGCCGTCAGGGGGTCCCACCGCGAGGTGGGACCCGGCTTCGTTTTCCTCTGGGCAGTTCATTTCTCGACGGCCGCCTCCCCTTTCGGAGGGCTTTGGGTCAGTCTCCACACCCGTTTCCCAGACGGCCTCACCCAGGCTCTTCCCACAAAATACCCAATTCTGATTGAAAATACGTTTTGGTTGTTCTCAAAGGTCTAAGAAGGGCAGCGAAACTTTCCTCCCGACACCTGCAGCCTCTTTTCCCTGCCTGCTGACTCCCGGCGCCAGCGGGGCTCTCGGTTGCTCTCTTTGCGTCGGGTTTTGTTTTTTAAAGGTAAAAACAAGACAGGAGACGCCACCGCCAGTGAAGTGCCGGGGGAGGGAACATTTCCAGCTCCTGTCCCCAGAGCTGGGGG